CCTTAGTCAGGTGGAAGCAGAAACCCCACACTTGTGCTTGCAACACTTCCAGCCATTTCTCCAGAGGGCGGGCCTCTACCTAAGTACTTTCCTTTTTGAGAAATTCACTTTTGTTTCTACTTGCATGTCCAAAGGTGTATAGATTTGTCTTTTTTTTTTTTTTTTGGCAGAACCGGGGATTGAACTCAGGCCCTTGCGCTTGCCAGGGAAGCGCTTATTCCACTGAGCCATCTCCCCGGCCAAAGGTGTATAGAAAAGATGATCTAGAACTGTGAGATAGCTCAGTAGACTGTCTGCTTGACAAGCGCAGGGACCAGGGTTCAATCCCTGATCCTGGATGCTCCACTGGCTCCGCCCCCAGGGAGTACTGAGCCAGCGACAGAGTCTGGCAATGGTGGAACACGCCTGTAATCCCAGTGCTGGGGAGGCAGAAAACAGGAGGATCACTATGAGTCCAAGCTGTGTAGTGAGACCCTGTACCAAATACATAAATGGAAAAAACAAAAGATGATCATGAGCTGGAAGTGAAGAGCTAAGGTTCACTGCCCAGCTGACAAATGCAGAAGGGATGTGAACATGCTTTACCACTCTCTCAAGCTAAAACACTACATAAAATCATGAAAATCACAAGATCCAGATCTCCAAGTTCATTTTAAGAACACCTGTGAAACGGTCCAGGCCATGGAGGACATCATATCCTAAAAGTCAACAAGTATGGATGTCACTTTAAAAATAAAAATGTAGGGGCTGGGGAGATGGCTCAGTGGAATAAGTGCTTCCCTGGCAAGCGCAAGGGTCTGAGTTCAATCCCCAGTTCCACAAAAAAAATAAAAATAAAAATAAATAAATAAATAAAAATGCAATGTGTGCCATTCCAGTGTTACAATGGTGGAGGTGGCAAGCATACCAGGGCAAATGGTGAGGCTGGACAAAGGGTCACTGGTCCTGAAAGGGTGCTGAGTTTGTGCTGCACATGCTTAACACTGTGAGGTGAAGCTGGGCTGAAGGGTAAACTTGGATGTCACTGAACATGTCCAGGTTAGCACAGCACCCAAGCTGCACCGCCACACTCAGAGCTCAGGGATGGACCAACACACACACACACACACACACGCACAAGCTCCCCTGCTACTCAGAGCCACTCCTCACTGGAAAGAAGCACAGGGCTTCACAGCAGAAGAGGTGGTGGGGAGGGCATCAGAAACAAATTCAGTATAAAATTACTGGAAAGAAAAAAAGAAAAGAAAAGCTAACAGCAGACACAGATATAAGCCAGCAGCCTTGACTCCTGGTGGTCAAGTGACTTTTTTTGGGAATGGCCCAGCCCGACCTGGGGTAGGACTGGTGCGGCACGTGGCGCCAGGGACCGCTGCTCCTGCCTAAGCAGGTGCTTTAGACTTGTGAGCTATCTCATCAGCCCCCAAAAGTGGCTTTATTGACTTTCTGTCAAACTGCGTCCCATCTAAAGGTGGTTTGGGGAAATGAGGTCTTTTCCATCTTTCCAAAACAGCCCCTAGTGGGCCGCAGTTGGCAGAACCAGCCAAAGGTTTAAGTGGACAGGAAACATTTGGAAAGGGGAGTGCCTTTGGTGAACTTTAGAGAAATGTAAAACAAAAGGAGGCACCTCCATCTCTGGTGCCTAGGCACTCAAGTGGACGCCTGGAAGGCTGTATTCCTCTTCTTGGCTCCTCCCTCCTCTCCCTGCTTCCTGGCTGCCACAGGCTGATTCGCTTTTTTTTTTTTTTTTTTTTTTTTCTGATTTGCTTTTCTCCACCAGGCCCTTCCACCATGCCATTTCTACCTTGGAGCCAGCCAACCATGGACTGAATCCCCTAGAAACCATGAGCCAAAAATAAATGTCTCTTCCTTTAAGTTGTGATACGTAAAATTACTAAGTCTTTAACGGTGCAGGATGCTGTATGGCTGTATCACGCCTTCGCTGTCCAGAGTGGCCTCCCAGAGCGATGCTGATCTGTGCCAGGAGAGCAGGAGCTCCAGCCTCTAGGAAGCCACCTCCAGAAGGTTCACAGGTAGAGTCTTCTTGAACCACACAAGAGCAGTAGCAGCAGAGAGAACATCTAGGCTCCTGAAGTGGCAGGGAGGGCAAGAGGCCCACAAACTAGAAGATTCACCTGAGCACCCAGGGGTCCTCCTGGATCTGGGGAGCCCAAAAGCCCACAGCAGAGGCAGATATAACTACAGAAGTGTTTCCTATGGCGGCAAATTCTAAGTACTTGCCAGTCAGGCTGTAGAGGGCTCATTGTTTGGCTTGAAAATATCTATGCCCAAAGCTTTCACGATTGTTGGCATGATGATGATGGTAAAGGCAGACGGTCCACCTGACTGACCTGGCGCCTGAGTCTGGCCCTTTGCCTCTTTTCCCCATCACTGTTTTCTGGATTTGCTTTGCAGCCATGTGTACTACGCATCTGTGCTCTGCCACACGCTTCCACCATGATGTTTCTGCCTTGGAGTCACCTGACCATGGACTGAGCCCCCTAGGACTGTGAGCTAAATCCAACCTCTGCTCTTTTCAGCTGGGAGTGTTGGGTTTCGTGTCTCAGTGATGGGAAAGCTCACAGTATAGAAAACTGGTACCAGATGTGGGACTGCTGCTATGACTACACGTGGTCACATGGTTCAGAACCCTTTGGAACTGATTTTCAGAAGTCTGGAAAAGATTAGGAGATGTGAGCCAGAGAAACCCTACAGATACCTTGTCAGCTAATCACTGAGGAGGGTACGACTAAACCCAGGGCCGGCGAGATAGCTCAGAGGACTAAGCACCTGTTTTAGCAAATACAGGGACCAGGGTTCAATCTCCAGTCCCGCATGCCATGCTGGCCTTGCCCCTGGGGCACACTGAGCTGGCGACTGAGTCTGGGCATGGTGGTGCACACCTGTAATCCCAGTACTGGGGAGGCTGAAAACAGGAGGATAACTACGAGTCTAAGCTGTGTAGTGAGATCCTGTACCAAACACATAAAATGAAATAAATAAATAAATAAATAAAAAAATAAGACTGAACCCAGTTTTAAATGAATAAAATAAATATCTTATTACCAAAAGAATTATATTCTATAAACACCTGCTTTTATGGAGGAAGACTAACTTCTAGGAGGGAAGGGTGTTACCCGGGGCTAAGATGTAGCTCCATAGCACAGAGCACACGCTTAGCACACATGAGGTCCCAGGTTTATCTTCAGCACCATCATCACCACCAAAAAAAAAAAAGAATAAAAGGAAAAAGAGAACAAGCAAGAGAAGGAGGTGAAGGGGAGAGAGAACAAAAGCAAAAATAGTTGCCTAAATTGCAACAGGGAATTAGCTTTGGACAGGAGCCTGTGTACGCCTCACCCTGCTCAGCCTGCGCAGCTCTGGCTAGAGAAGTGTCTCTAACACTGCACCCAGACTGCCCCTGTTGCGTCTGGAGGTCTGTGGGCTCAGCAGCACAGAGCTTCTCTGGCAGCTCCCTACTCAAACCTGGCTGCTGGCCTCTGAGTCTGAGACAGGGGCTAGGCACAGTCAATGTAAATGCAAGACAATGATTCAGGCCACAGTGCTCGACAGCCTGCAGAATGATTTTTGCTCTGTAGAAATCAGTTCTAGGAAGTGGGGGTGCAGTCACTTGGCCATATCTGTTACGAGCAAAGCACAATTTCTTTTGTTTTTTTGGCAGAACCAGGGATTGAACTCAGGCCCTTGCACTTGCCAGGGAAGTGCTTATTCCACTGAGCCATCTCCCTAGCCCACTTGGCCATATCTGTATCATGACTTTTTCACATCTATATGCCATCTGTCCCATTATTTTTTCTTTAGTATCCTATTATTTTTTCTTTCTGTCCCTTAGTATTTTTCTTTAATTCATTCTTTTTATTTATTTGTGTTTTCTTTCATGGTACCGGGGATTAAACCCAGGACCTTTATACTGAACTCCATCCTCAGACAGGGGCTTGTTCAATTACTACATTGCCCAGACTAGGCTCAAACTTGCCACTCTTCTGCCTCAGTCCCCCACACTGCTGGGATTCCTGGTATGTCACCATTCTGAGCCCTTTTTATTGATACTTAAAAAGAAGCTCTATGGAAGGTTAAAAAATTCCAACAAAATATTGTTAAGAAAGTTGCACTTGATAACTGTCACTCCCCGAAGCTCTAAGCTTGAGCTTGCTTCCTCTAAAGAAGTCGACAAGTTTTAAATAGTAAAGACAAGTCAGAAATGATGACTCTCCTTGTCAGTATTAAAAAGGACTGCACAAAACCCAACACGGACTGACTTTCTCATTACATGACTATGTAAAGGCAGCTCCCTGAGCTGCCTGCTTACAAAACCAAATCGCTGGGTCTTGAGTGAATCAAAGCTCTGCCATTTTCTGGCTGAGGTTTTTATCTCAAAGTAAAATGGCATTTTCTGCTGAGTGGTTCTAGAGAAGTTCAAGCAGGAAACAGACATAGAAAAGGCCTCATAAACAAACACTCATGTGCTATGGGAGCATCAGGGATCACTAAGGCCAACTCTGAGCAGTCCATCAAGAAGGCCAGACCCCAGACTCAGCCTGAAACGCTCCCCAGCTCTCCCTTTCCTTTCAGCTCCAGGCCAACGTGTGGGGTGTTGATTAGAATGATGCAAAAGGGGGCTGGTGAGATGGCTCAGTGGTCTAAAGCACCTACTTAGAACAAGCTTAGCAAAGCACAGGGACCACGGTTCAATCCCCCAGCACCACATGCCAGCCAGCCCCGCCCCCTGGTGGGCTGAGCTGGCCACACACACACACACACACAAATAAATAAATAAATAAATAAAATTAAAAAAAAAAAAAGAATGATGCAAAAGGTGCTCAGGAATGCAACAAAGAAGAGGGACAAAGGGGGTGCTGAGCAGCGCCACTTACTCTGCTGAAATTTTAGTGAACTCTGGGATTTCTTCTTTTTTCTTTCTAAAGAAGAACCAGTAGGTTAGGATACCCATGATGAGAGAAAGCAGAATCATGTCCGTCATGCTGAAGAGAGACATTTCTTCGGCCACAGCCTCAGTACTGGTGGCGGCGGTATCCACGTGGGAGTCCCCCATGTTGATCACAGCACTGTCAGGAGAGAGAAATGACACGTCAGCATGGAGGAGCAGAGGCACCCAACAGGTTGGGGCACCCTCTGAATGCTGTGGCCCCAGCACCACACCCCTGTGGCTGCAGCACCACAGAGCCCTAGGTGCTGCGTTTGCTCACAAAGCCTTTTCCAATTGTCAGGTTGCCTGACACCCTGAAGAGTCTAGGGTCTTTTTTTTTTTTTTTTTCTTTCTTTCTTTTTTTTAAAAAGTGTATTGGTACAGGGTGTCACTATGCAGCTTGGACTTAACATTGATCCTCCTGTTTTCAGCCTCCCCAGTGCTGCAATTACAGGCATGCACCATCACGCCTGGACTCAGTGGCCAGCTCAGCATGCCCTGCAGCTGGGCCGTGTAGCATGTGGTGCCAGGGATCAAACCCCGGTGCCTGCATTTGCCTAAACAGGCACTCAGTCTGCTGCAGGGTCTTCAATATTCACCCTGAAAGGGCTCTGGGAAATAAACTCTAACCCCAGAATACCTGGCCTAATAAGAATATCTCTGAAGTCCTGAGAACTTGGACCTTGAAAACAGTTAATGCTAGGAATGAGTTATGGCGAGCTCTTGGCTTTGCATGCCAGGCCTGTGTCACTGCATCTGTTGGAGGTCCAAGTGTGCTAGAGACCATGTAAACTTCCAGGTATAAGTACTCCATGTCCATAGACTGACCCAAGACATCTGGGACTCTAAGACTCAGAAGCATCCCTGGTTGGCAACACAGAAGCTTCCCAACTTGCTGATGATGTGGGGGTTATGTCCTGATGACCCTAGCAAAACTTGGAAAATATTAAGTCAGAAATGTATTTAAAGCCAGGCACGGTGGCATACACCTACACACTCTCAGAAACTGAGGCAGGAAGATCACAAAGTTGGGCCCAGCCCAGGAAACTTAAGTGACTTAGAAAGTCCTTGTTGGGGCTGGAGAGATGGCTCAGTGGTCTAAAGCACCTACTTAGAACAAGCTTGGCAAAGCATTGGGGACCACGGTTCGGTCCCCCAGCACCACATGCCGGCCAGCCCGCCCCCTGGTGGGCTGAGCTGGCCACACACACCTCTCTCTCTCTCTCTCTCTCTCTCTCTCTCTCTCTCTCAAATAAATAAAAAAAATCTCTTAAAAAAAAAGAAAGTCCTTGTTTCAAAATGAAAAAAGTAAAAGGTCTGGGGATACAGGAGGGCAAAAGCCCTGGGTTCAATCCCCAGTGCTTCAGGGAGAAAAATGCACTTAATATACGCAAACTACTAAACATCACAGCTTAGTCTAGCCTTTATTTTTTGTAAAGATGAAAGCTTTATTGGCAAATGGTTGCATTCGCCTAAATACAAATAACAAAAAAATAAAAAATCTTTCAAATTGTGATTGTTCTGGTAAAACTCATTTCTTCTTCTTCTTTTTTTTTTTTTTTTTTAGCCTACTTTAAATATGCCCAAAACACTTAGGCAAAATCATCTAACACAAAGCCTACTTGATACCAAAGTCTGGAATATCTCCTGTGAGTCACCAGATACCACTTGGAAAAGGCAAAGCAGAATGGTCTTACGGTACTGCTCTGGCAACAGCATGAAGTCAGGGACCATTTGTACTTCATGCAGGCTATTACATGTCACTGCCAAGAAAATTCAGTGTTGTCCCTGTGACTGCACTGGGAGAGGCCAACCTGAAACTCATACCTGGCCTCTCCTGGACCCAACCTCTGTGTTCTTCTCCTTTGCTCAACTTAATATGCATCCTTTTGCAATAATAAACCATGATCCTAGGTAAAAAAAACTTCATGTTTTGTATATCCTGGCAAGCTGCTGGGCCAGGGGTGGTGTTGGGACCCTCGACTCACCAACTCTGCCCTTAGAAGATATTCCACTGGCCTATCCACCACTGAAACCTGGCAGCAAGGCAGACTTTTTACAAGATCTGAACACTGGGCAGGGACCTTCCACTGCTTCCTTCCAGCCAGGCTGGGCTCGCTCTCAGAATCTGAACCATTCATTTTGCAATCACACTGTGACCTAGCGGGGTGTTTTCACCACAGTGCAATCAGGATGGCTGAGTCACATCTCAGCCACTTTGACATGGAAGATGGCTTTCATCTGACTTCTGGTGGCTTCCTTCCCTTCAGGAAACCACAGGGCTGGCTCCAAGCCACAAGAACAGCCAAGGGCTCTGGGTGTTGATCCTGCTGCTCTGTCTCGAAGGGAAACTGACCCTCAGGCCTGGTTCGTTGCTTTCTTAGTAACCAGAAGTACTTCCTAGCAGCTGCAGTTCATCACAACTCAGTTTTTGTTTTTTGTTTTTTTTTTTTTATTGTTGCTAGTGTTTTGTTTTAGGTGCTGGGGACAAAGGGCCCCGCACACCTATGCAAGTATTCTACAAGTTGTATGTACCTCCAGCCCCCAGCCCTTGTCCTTATTGATATCTGATCTTTAAGAGCAAATTTAACTGTGGTGTCCTCAGAGAACACTGTGTATCTATCAGTACTAGACACACACTTACTATTTATTTGGTGCTAGTCATGTATATCTGTCTAGCCCAGTCAGCATTTCAGTCAAGCCCACACACCTTCCGTCAAGTTTCTGAAAATCAGACTGAGAGGTGTTTGGCACTTGCTTTGACAGACTCTGAAAGGACCTGTCCTGCAGAATCAGGAAGAAACTGCCTCTCAGAGCCTGCTAGAGCCAGCTGAAGTCTGTCTGCTCAGGACCATGTGCAGGCCCCGGAAACCCCCAGGTGGCAGCAGTGTCACTTCCTGTTTCTCCACTGCCTCCCTTTAGGTCGCCAGGCAGCCTGGACCCCTTGTTTCCCAGAAGAGGAAGAGACACCCACGGAGCCATCTCACTGTTTCTCCACACACATGCTGGCTGCACAGCCTGGAAGAGCAAGCACATTCCCTGTGTGTGCTTTCTAAGTTCGGGTGCTGGGGAGCAAGGACAGCGGCAACCCTGCACCCTTGTAATCACGTTCTTGCCATCCTGACCACTGGAAGAGATTCCTGTCTCTTGCAGGAATCTGGGGAGCAGATGGGCTGCTCCCCACACAGCAGCCAGAGGTGGCCTTTAAAGTCAGAGCACACCACCTCTTGATTATTCAGATTATGGTTTCAGCTTATTTAATAAAAATCTTAGGTCCTTCCACAGTGTATGGAGCCCTTTCTGATCCTGCCCTTAGATACTCCTCTCCCCATACCTAAAGGTCACATAGGCCTCTTGGCCTCAGGGCCGCTGCACATGGTGACACTGCCTGGACTCTCTCGCTCCTATTATCACAGGGCTCACTCCATGCTTCATGCAGGTCTGTAAACTGCCTGCAGTAGCTCGGACAGCCCACCAGCCACACACCTGCACAGCACGGATCACTGCCTGCCAGTATCATACATCATTTTATCACACTGGCTTATCTCTCTGCCTGGAGTGTCAGGCCCACTGGGCAAGGCCTTTGATGGGTTCCAAACTGACATATTATAAGCACCCAGTATCAAGTTATTAAATGAATGAACCCGCAAATCACCCTGATTCTAGCGTAGCTGAGCTGGCAATGCGTGCACTCTGTAAGACACAATCCAGATCCACCATCTGGGCTCTGTAGCAAGCTGATTCCTCTTCCCTCTCTTGTCGCTCGCTTGCACGCACGCTTGCTGCTTCTGCTCCTTGAGGTCAGAGGCAGCAACAGATTCCTGTGCACACACACGCCTGGGAGAAGCCACAAACAAGACCCCAGGTCGGGTCACTTAAACCACACTTGCCCACAGAAGGGCACACAAGCCCCCTCCAGCTCCCCAGTCTCACTCTGACCTCCTCTCCCACCACCTTCTCTGCCGCCTCCCCGGGGCCGATGCTTTCCTCTCTGCGCTCCTGCCTCACTCTTCACCTCAATTTGATCAGTCCCTCGCCTTTATCTAGTTAGTGCTCAGCAACCATTCAGGGAACAAACGAAAGGAATAGGTATTATACTCCCTTCCCATAATACAGTATCACGACATGAGGAAAACACAATTTGTGTGAGTCAACAACATGAAACATGAAGAAATAAAAGCCATGCTGAAGCCTGCCATGGTGGCACAGGCTTGTAATCCCAGCACCATGAGGCTGAGGTGGGAAGATCACCCCAAGTTCAAGGTGAGTCTGGCCTACATACAGTTATTACTTAACACCTACCTGGTTAACAACTGTTCAAACTTACTACCTGTCATTTTTTGTACGTCTTGTTTACACAGCCTCAATCTTTTCTTATGCGGTACGCCTTGTTTATTCAGTGCTGTGATTTTTGCTGACTGTAATATACAGTACTGTAGTTTTATGTTGTTAATCATTATAGTACTACATGTAAGCATTATGGAAACAAAAAGCAAAGTCATCAAGGTAGCGTTTCTTCTGGCCATTTCTTTGTTTTGAACATTGTAATATAGATACCATAGACAATTCTTCATTTAGCGACAAAGTCATTTAACAGCCAAATCACAGGAGTGGAACTCGGTCATTAAATGAGGGGTGTCTGTAGTTGAGCTCCAAAGCCAAATCAAAACAAACAGAAGCAATATTGACTTTGTACTGTCCCTACATGCCAACCCCCTGGAGAAGAGGCTCCTAAACTTTCTCAGCAAAACTTTCATGGTGTTTCCTAAACGAAAAGAAGTGCCCAACAGTGCCACTGAGTGGGAAGAGTTAGTTCCAAACCTCAGGTGCTAACCCACGTTCCACAGATCCATAGTCACAAAGGGGATACAGCATGATCTAACGCTGAAACCTGGACCTCCAGCTGCCCCCGCCCAGGGAATCCACCGGCATAGACTTCCTGGCTCTGAAAACTGAGCACCCTGCATTTGCTTCAGGGCCCAGAGGCGCCCACCCTGGCACAGTCCGAGAACCATCCCGACAGTGAAATAACTTCCATGTGGAAGTTCTGCCCGCCCTCCCTGATACCGCCCTCCATGTCTGGTGGTCACAGGGGAGCAGGAGATGGTCAGCTTGAGGTCCCCACAGTGATCCAAGGAAAGCTGGAGTAGGAGATAGAAAGGAACACAGGATGAGGCAGGCTCACAGCCTAAAGTGGTATTTGTCAGCAAGGGAAGGAAGTAGAGAGGGAGGAAATGGAAACACAGGAACAGTAACTTGGGGCTGGACCAGGCTTTAGCCACACAGTACTGCCAACCAATGACTGGGACCCTAGGCAAACCCCTTATTTATTAGCTTGTGTATTAATTGATTTGCATGTAACCCGAGGTAGGCTTCAATGTCCTCATCTGTAAAATTAGAAATAAAGGTATCTGTCACATGAGTCTCTCCCACCCCAAATACAGAATAGATTTGATCTTTTATTATGAATTTGCTCAGCCTCTTCACTCTATAGATTTATATTTTTCACCAGATTTGAAAACTTTTCAGCTATTTATTTCCTGAGCATTTTTTTCAGCCCTGCTCTCTTTCTTTTTTTCTGGGATTACAAGAAGATGAAGATTAAACCTTTTATTTTTTTTCCTCCCAGTACTGAGGTCTAAACCCAGGGGCCTTGTGCAAGCTAGGTAAGTACTTGAGCTACATCCCCAGCTCCAAAGCCTAACTTTTTTGTTCTTAGTCCCATGAGACCGTCAGGTTCTTTCCCTCCGATCTAGGGTCTTTCTGTTCAGACTGCATAATTTCTACTATTTTATCTTTACATTCAATTATTCTTTTCTGTCTTCATTCTGTAATGGAGCTACTGACAGGGTTTTTTTGGGGGGTGGTCAGGGGGCTTTTGTTTTTTGAGATAGGGTCCTGCTATATAATTCAGGCTGGCCTTTAACTCAACTATGTAGCCTAGGCTAGCCTTGAATTTGCAGAGATCCTCCTGCCTCAGCTTCCTGAGTGCTGGGATTACAGGCATGCATAACCATTTTTTTTTTTTGACTACTGTATTTTTTCAGCAATTCCAAGGTGTTTGGTTCTTCTTTATGTCTTATATAATTCCAAAACCTAAGTCATCTTGATGCTGATATTGATGAAACTGTCTTTTTCTTCTTCTTCTCTCTCTCTCTCTCTTTTTTTCTGTACTAGGGATTGAATTCAGGACCCTGTGCTTGCCAGGCAAGTGCTTATTCTACCGAGCTATCTCCCAGGCCCTTATCTTTTTCATTCAAGTGCAGATTTTTGTGGTTCTTGATATAGTGATTTTTATTGTGTGCTAGGCAGTGAATCTTGTAGCAGGCCTCTTCCATCATCCTGCAGTGGGAGAGGGAGGGTGCAATGCACTGCTGCTAGGCGGAAGCCCGTTTCCCACTAGAGTAGCTGGTTACTGCACCCTACCTGGCCTCCACTGCCCCCTTGTGACAGGGCACCCTGGTGCCACCAGGGGGTGGTAGTGAAGTGCTAGCTTCACTGTGTGCCCTGTGACATCAATCTCAGAGAGAGAGAGAGAGAGAGAGAGAGAGAGAGAGA